AAGGCCATCATAGAGGAATCATAGAAGGGACCTTTGGGATTTTGGAGCAAGGCTCTACCATCATCTGCAGACAATTATTTTTCCTTTGAGAGACAGCTCTTGGCCTGCTATTGGGCCATCATGAAAATGGAACATTTGACAATTGGCCACCAAGTCACCATAAGAGCTGAACTTTCCATCATGACCTGGGTGTTATCTGACCCACCAAACCATAAAGTAGGATGTGCACAGCAGCAATCTATTATATGGAAGTGGTGTATATGTGATCAGTCTTGAGTACATCCTGAAGGCACAAGCAAGTTACATGAAGGAATTGCCCAAATGCATAGGGTTTCTACTCTAGCTACAATGCCATCTGTTGCCAAGCATGTACCTATTACCTTATGGGATGTGCCCTATGACTGGCTGACTGAGGAAGAGAAGACTATGGTCTGGTTTACTGATGCTTCTGCATGTTATGCAGGTACTACCTAGAAGTGGACAGCTGTAGAATTACAACCCCTTTCCAGGACAAAACTGAGAGATACGGGTGAAGGAAAATCTTCACAGTGGGCAGAACTTCAGGCAGTACAAATGGTCAGACATTTTGTTTGGAAGTAAAAAATGGCAAAAATGGCCAGATGTGCAGCTGTTCACTGATTCATGGGCTGCAGCTAGATGGTCAGGGACTTGAAAAGAGCATGGTTGGAAAATTGGTGAGAAAGACATCTGGGGAAAAAGTACATGGGTGGATCTCTCCAAATGGGTGAGGAATGTGAAGATGCTTATGCCCCATGTAAGTGCTCATTAAAAGGTGACTTCAGCAAAGTTCAGTAATCAAGTAGATAGGATGACCTGGTCTGTGGACAGTCAGCCTCTTTCCCCAGCCATCCCTGTCATTGCCCAGTGGACCCATGAACAAAGTGGCCATGGTGGCAGAAATGGAGGTTATGAATGAGCTCAACAACATGGACTTCCATTCACCAAGGCTGACTTGGCTACAGCTGCTATTGGATGCCAGATCTGCCAACAGCAGACCAACATTTAACCCCGGATATAGCACCATTCTTGGGGGTGACCAGCCAGAGACCTGATGACAGGTTGACTACATTGGACCACTTTCACCATGGAAAAGACAAAGCTTTGTCCTTACTAAAGTAGATACTTTTTCTGGTTATGGATTTTCCTTTCCTGCACATACTGCTTCTGTGAAAACCACTGTCTGTGGACTTACAGAATGCCTCATCCACCATCATGGTATTCTACACAGTATGGCTTATGTCCAAGGAACTTACTTCACAGCCAAAGAAGCGTGACTGCATGACTGTGGAATCCACCCATGTCACTATATTTTCTACCACCCTGAAGCAGCTGGGCCGATAGAAAGATGGAATAGCCTTTTGAAGACACTGTTCCAGTGCCAATTAGATGGCAGCCTGGAGGGCTGGGGCAGGGTTCTCCAGAAGGAGGTATACACTTTAAATATATATGGTATTTGAATACCATGTATCTAATACATGATATGGTTCCTACCATAGCCAGGATCCACAGGCTCAGGAATCAAGGGATAGAAAAAGAAATAGTTTTACTCATTATCACCCCTAGTGACCCACTTGGAAAAATTTTGCTTCCTGTTCCCATGACTTTAATTTCTGCTGGCCTAGACAATTTGATTTCAGAGGGGGGATTGCTCCTTCCAGAAGCCACAACTAACATTAAACTGGAAGCTCAGACACCCCCTCTCTGCTCATACCAAATACTTTGGACTTCTGACACCATTAAGCCAAGAGGCTAAGAAAGGAATAAGTGTTCTGAGAGGTGACTGAACCAGACTACAATAGGGAAATTGGACTGCTTCTCCACAATGGAAATAAGAAACATTATGTCTGCAGTGCAGGAGACCATTTAGGGAGCCTCCTGGTGCTACCATATCTGGTGATAAAGTCAATGGGGAACTACAACAACCTAATCCATGCAGGGTGACAAAGGGCACAAACCCTTCAGGAATGAAGGTATGGGTCACTCACTCCTCCAGGAAAAGAGCCAAGACCTGTTGAGGTGCTTGTTTAAGGTGGAGGAAATACAGAATGGGCAGTAGAGAATGGTACTTAGAAATACCAGCTAAGGCCACGTGAACAGTTGCAGAAACAAAGATTATAACTGACATAAATATTTCTCGTATTTTGTTAAGCATGTATTGTACAGACATTAGTGTTTTCTTTCCCATTTCTTTATCGTGCAATATAACATCAATGAAGAGAGTATCTGGGGCTATCATATTTAAGTTTGTGATAGTAAAAAAATGTCCCTCAAGGGACATTGCCATCTATTTTAAAATCTATAATGTGTTTGTGGTTATCCGAGGGATAGTTATATCACGTTAGGTGTAATTATGACCTGGTTTAAATATATAATGCATTTAAGATTGGATGTGGGATAGTTTTATAATTGAAGATATAATTATGACCTGTTTATTGTTTTCATTTGGAAACTTAAGCATGACAAAAAAGGGATATTATTTGCATCAAGTTGACAAGGGTGAACTTGTAATGTCTATTCTTGGTTGTTGACTTGACTACATCTGTTACACATGAGTTAACTAAAACCCATGTGGCTGGGTATATCTGTGAGGATTTTTTTTCTTAATTAAATCATTTGAAGTGGGAAGACCCACTTTGAATCTGGATCTTTGGAGGAGGAGGATCCACCTTTAATCTGGGCCACACTTCTGGTGGTAGCCAGTATAAAGGACATGGAAGGAGGAAGCTTGCTCTTTTTGCTTGCCTGAGCTTGCTCTCATTGGTCAGTCTACTCTTGCGCTGGAATTAGAGCTTACTCCTTTAGGATTCTGGCATAGAGTGAAGCTCAGCTGAGACATCCAGCCTCATGGACTGAACAACTACTGTGTTGTCTTGGACCTTCCATTGGTAGACAGCTATTGTTGGACCCCAAGCCTGTTAGGCCATTCTAATAAATCCTAGATATGACTGCTCAGAGATTGAGGCCAGCCTGAGATACTTAGAGAGAACACTATGTCAAAACCAGCAAATGACAAAAAGGCATCTGGAGAGGAGGCTCAGCTGGTAACACATGCCTTGCCAAGTACAAGAACCTGAGTTCGAGCCTACGATGTGACAGACATTTCCTGAAGATGCAACCAGGTATGTACTCACTCCAGAAAGCGAGCAACAGCCGACCACAGTATGGATACCACCACAGTCCTGCTCGGTGAGCCAATGCATCTTCTCAGGGCTACTTATAGGAATATGGGAAGGGATTTTTCTTACAGGAACAGAAACGACTTAAAGACAGCTGCGTCACCACAAAAGCTGGAAGCCTGGAGCTTACTGCACACTCTGCAGCAGCTCAACGGGTTACAGTGTCCTTTCCAGGGAGGTAGCTCAGCTGTTCTGAGCCTCTTCCATGATTCTTAGTTGGTCTTAAAGTTGGACTGTCTGAGAATGGCTCTAAACAGTTCTTATTGCTTATATGTGCTTGGAGAGGGAGAAGCCTAGTGAATCTGATCAGTTTTAGGGATTTTCTGAAACTATTTTGAGTTGCTTGTTTCCTGTCTTATGGAGCTTCTCTGCAGGGTAGAACGTTTTCCCTCTCCTTCCAACATCCTGCCATAAAATACCCTGTTTTATCTCCATTTTCATATCTTATGTCTTAAAAGAGTTTTCCTTCAAGAGGGAATGTTTTAACTTGAGTGCAAAGTGCTACACAGTAAGCCCCCAGATTGCATATAAAGCTTGAGTTTTGGTGGTGTGGACTTTAAAGACACTGCTGAGCAGGGTGGAGCCTACTTACAGCCATTCTTGGCCTACTCAGCAAGCCAAGGTTGTTGAGAGACTCTTGTCTCCGGAGAAAGGGTGAGGTTGTTGGCACCTGAGTCAGAATGCCACCCACAGTTGTCCTCTGTTCTCCACAAGCACACCTGTGGAAGAGCACACTAGTTGTTGAGATTTAGAAGGTAAGCACTCAGAAATTTCAAGAAATTTCTGAAACGAACAGGATTCACAATGCTCCTCCACGTGGTCAGTAGTGTCCGCTAGCCTACCTATGCTGGGGTGGTTTTTGGTGGTGCAGTTGCCTTTAAAAGGAGCCCATACTCTTAGGAGTAAACCGAATAAATCCACTGGCTCACTAGAAGACTTGGGTAAAACTTCTGATGCCCTAACTGATGTCAACAAATACCTATTTCTGTTTCCTTCGGAAGTCACATAACATCTTACACACACACACTCAAACCATAGCAAAGTCCATTCATCAACCTGTGCTGGGGCAGAAATAGGAAAATCTGATTGTAATAGGTCCTAAACAGATGCTTAATCAGTTTGTTGTCCCTCTTGTACCGCAGGTGGCAAGCTCGGAACACTGAATGGGCTCAGGTAGGCCAAGAGAAGCCAAGCAGAAGTATAGTACTTAGAAACGCACCAGCGCCTGCACTGCTTACTCAGGCAAAAATACACCTCCTTTACTGCAGTCTCGGGACCTTCTGACCACCGACAGTTACTTGAAGAGATTTAGAAACTGTAATTTCACGAAGGGGGTGTGCGTCATGAAAATAACATTGCCCTGGAAAGGCTTTTGCAGCGCCATACAAGATACTCAGGCAATTCCGAGGGAAGCCGCGAGGGCAGCGTCGGTGGGTGCTCAGAGGGTCGAGGGCACAGCTAAGAGGGCTCCTGGTAACTTTGAGGGGGCCGCGACACGTGAGCGAAAACGAGCTGAGGAGGACTGGGCGGCCGGCAGACACTGCGAAAACAAAGGTCGGATCTCGGGTACCGCAGCACCGGGAGCAGCTAGGCCGCAGCGCGCGGACCCGGTGGTGCGCGGGGCCGCGAGAAGACGGGCGGCGCCAAGGAGGAGCCAGCGGCGGGCTTGGTCGGCCGGGGCGGAGAGCGGCGCGGGGCGGGCCGGGGGCTGGGCCGGGCGCGCCGACGGCAGCGGGCCTGGTCCCAGCGAGCGCGCGCGGGGGCGGGGCCGGAAGCGCAGCGGCCGCGACGCGGACGCCGGGAGCGGCCGAGCAAGGGAGGCTGTGGCGGGCGGGAGGGCGAGCACGGAGGCCGAGGCCGCGGCCCGGGCTCTCCGCGCCGCTGTGGAGGGCGCCCTGGCCCTGGCCGAGCCGCAACAATAGTGGGAGCGGGTCGTCGGGAACGGTCGGCTGGCGAGGGGAAGCGGGGCCGCCGCTCCAGGGCGCTGCGGCGGGAGAGACTTTGGGAGCCTGGACGTGCAGGAGCACACAGCGCCTGAGGAAATTGTCTCAGAAAAAGGCCGGTCTGAGGCTGGGGCTGAGCGCGGGGCTGGGCTAGGTGGAGCGACCTGCAGGTCGAAAAGGAAAAGAACGTTTAAGATTTCCTGCGGTTTTGGCCAATGCTACCGTTTTGAAGGTAAAAAGCATTGCGCTTCAGGTGTTTTGTGGATTTGTGTGTGTGTGTGTTTGTCTGCACAATTGGCTCATTTCAGAATTCAAAACCTTTAATATAGAAGATCGTCGTTTTGTTTTGATCGTTAAGAAATCCACAGATTTTGCTTCCCAGGGCTGCATTGGACTTAGTGTTGTGTACACATTGCTGTATGGTTTTATTTATTTTAACTGTGCAAATCATCTGGAAGATTTTTTTTCTCCCAAGTGCCATTTCGGATTTGTTCAGCTCTTTTTTTGTTTTGTTTTGTTTTTCCTTCCCTGGAATAATTCTGCTGTTGGCATTTTAAGCATTTGGAAACCAGAGATTTTTCAACCTTTGGAGCATAAGGCTTCTCTGTCAACAGAAGGACAGCTGGGAAAACTCGATTGGAAGGATGGTTTTTATCTGTCGGCAACGAAGACTGATATTTTGAAGTTACATTCTTTCTGTGGTTCGTTTTTTAGCCCGTAGTGCTAACCTTGAAGAGATTTGTGGTTAACAGTTTGGTTTCTGAGAAGGTCATAGTTCTTCCTCTTTTGTTTCTTTTTCTTTCTTTTTTCTTTTTAAAGCAAGGGGAGGGTAAAGGGTCAAGAAAGGAGACCATGTTAACCGGTAGAAGTAGAATGGCGCTACAGTTACCAGGATCCTGACAGCTGGAAGAAAAGGATTCCGTCTTCAACTTGGGAGGCCTTCCTCACACCTTCCTTAAAAATTGCAAGGGACTCAGGTCTGATCAAGACACCCAAAGACGCTACAGGATTCCGGAACTGTGGAGACACTGAGAAACCATGAGCATACGACTACCCCATAGTATAGACAGGTAGGTTTAAATAATTTGGGATTTTTCCAACACTGAAAAGACTGGGAGGGAGTGTTGTGTTCTGACTGACTGGGCTGTGGGAGAGGTAAGGTAGGAATTGTGGTTTATGGGAACTGCCAGTGTATATGTTATGTTCCCTCTGAGTGTGTCCAAAACGTACCCCTAATTCTGTGTCATTTATAACCGGTAAGCAGTGAAGCTGGAAAGAAGGGGGAAATGCTTTCAGTGGCTTTTGCATTATACCGGCTTAAGGCTGACTCTGGGTCCCCAGTTTGCCAGCCTAGGGATTCCAAGCTTGCCTGATCGTGTGAACCCACAGGGGTGAACGAGACAACCTTTCGATATTAGGGGAGAAGAGGGAGGGGTGACTAGCAGGGTTGTGAGCCTCCATCAGGCTGATTGTCATGGAATGGTGGGGCACAGTGGCAGGGTGGTTCCCATCTAAAAGGAGGAAGATGTTCTTGGCCTGAAATGTTGGGACAAAAATACAATTTTCACCAGTGATTGATAAATCTCCAAAATGTTTAGGCCACATTGGTATTTCTTCCTCCTCAAGTTTAGAGTTTAAATTGAGACCTACCAACAGGATGATGCTCTAGGCTTAATTTTCCAAGCTGTTCTTAATAAGCTTGACTGCAAAACGGGCCTTCCCTCTGCTTGAAGCCGGAAGTTGTTTAGGCCCTTGAAATCAGCTGGAAGCACATGATGCCCCTTCCCCCATGAGCTTGGTCTGCCTTCCCTGTTACCGGGAACATGGCAGTGTGATTGTTCTGTCCTCCAAAAGATTGGTGCAACTTTGGTAGAGGTCTGCCTTGTCATTTCTTCTCCTTCTCCTCTTCACCTTCCTCCTCAAAAATCTTCCACGGGCGTTTGTTTTGTGGATACTCCACACATCCTTATCAAATAGATAGGTAGGTGGTTGGAAGATAACAGTAAGATGAACAGATAGTATTTGCCAGGTGGGGAAGACTATCTGAAGGTCAGCAGTTGCTCTCTGTGTCAGCTAACCTTTGGCTATACGTGCTAATAGTAATTTCCTTTTGACTGGAATGCAGCTGACAGCATAATAAAGTCTCCTAACACTAGCTCTGTGTTGTCTCACAGTCCCAGTTAGATCTGTTTAGTAGTCTGTGTGTGGGGAACTGCCTTGCAGTGGGGAAGAGCAGGCAACCACAGAGGCAGTGTGACTGCTTGGCATCTCCCTTCCCCTTTCCATTGTGGTCTTCTGTAATTTGCCCCTGGGAAAGAATAACTGAGGCTGTCAGAGTAAGGAGGTGAAAGGTTTGCAAGTCTGCCCTTCTCTTCATTCTCTTGGAGTTGGGAGATTAGTATAGTCAAATTAAGATTGTGGTGGTGAATAATTTCTGTTAATTCAGGGATCTATGTGTATGTAAACCAGGTATTGACAGGTGTGGGGAGGTGGCAGTGAGGGCTTTGGGGCTAACATGAGATGTCCCTCCAGGAGCATGTACGACTGCACAGATGCAGATCTCCAGGTCCCAAGTGCTCTCATTAGAATGTCTCTTGTTTGAACCTCATGCTGTTTCTATGGAGTAGACAAGTCAGAAGTCACTGCTCACAGTTTGCAGATGCTGAGTGGATTCCTGGTTTGTCTGGTGCTGTTCAGTGTTGTCTGAGGGGTGTCAGGATCTAGTTTCAAACCCAAGTCTTCTGACTCTGAATCCCCGGTCATCCCTGTTGCCCCATCCTGTCTGCAGAGGTCTACGGCTCATGATCTAGAATGAGTAAGCCACCATTCTGCTGTCTTTGGCGGTTGGGTGAGGCGCTCGGCCAGTGCTCTCCTGTACTTCGTACCTGTGCCCTCTGGGGTTAAAGCACCATGTTCTTTCCTAGGAAGGCCTTCCTTGCCTTTACTCTGCCTGATTCTCTGCTCCAGTGAGAGGGTCAGTCCTGGAGCTGATTTCCTTCAGGTTTTCTCTAGATCTTCCTGCCTTAGCTACAGAGTTAGACTGTTGGGTTTGTTGATGTCCTAGACTCTGTACTTTATGAATGTAAACAATTCACAGTCTTTTCTTTTTATCACCCAAACTGGCTTCCCAACTTGCTGTATCTGGGATTCACAATCCTGCTTCCACCTCCCAAGTGATAATTTAGTCTTATGCCGTGCTGTAGGGACAGATTAGAAGGAAATGTTGCAAATTATGGTGTCAGGATTCTATTCTTTTTTGGCTTATCAATTTATTGTGTAAGATGGTATAAGTGCTTTAGAAAATTGTGCACTTCTTATCCAGAGCAGCTGTCTAATTGGGAAGTAGACATGGTGGCATGTGCTTATAACCCCAGTACTTGGGAAGCTAAAGCAGGAAGGATTACAAGATTGAAGCCAGCCTGGGCTACATAGTGAATTTGAGGCCAGCCTGAGTTATACCTGTCTCAACAACACAACACTCCCAAAAGGCACAGAAGTGGCACGATCTGAGCTCGGAAGCAGGGTCTATGTTGGTTTGCTTGGTTTGTCCTGTCTGCTAAGCTTAGTGCTGGGTGTGCAGTCAGTGCCCATAAACACTCCACATGTGTGTTGGGGTAAGTGAACACAGCAGCAAGTATAAATCCATCCACTGCAGGTTGCTTGAACAGCTTCCTCATGTAGTTCATGAAGGCCAAACTGGGGAAAGTCTCCTTGGTGTTACACATTTTCTAGAGGATAAAGCGACAGAGTAGAGGATTGTATATTTAGAGAGAGTGGGGCTTAAATAGAGAAGACTGGGTACCTACTTGGCATCTTTTACTTCCTGTTGTAGTAACTCCTGGGTCCATAGTGGGCATGAATTGTTTTTTGATCTTTGTGAAAGATGAGGTAAAATGTCGCTGCCCCTGTCCTTTTCAGTTTTTGTTCGTAACATTTTTTGGCTCTTCATCGTAATACCAATATTTTCTGAAAATGTGCTTGGTATTGCAGATAGAGACTATGTCTGATTCCTAGGGTAAGTATTCTCGGGGCTGGGTAGGTTAGGAGTACATCCACAGAGCAGCTTTTGTTCTGCACATAGGTAGCTTCATGTGAAGACCAAACCAGAAAAGTACAGCTCTGCCAAGAGTTCTCAGTCTTCACCACTTTCTCCATTCAGGGTCAGCTCTAGTTCACACACTTAGGGTTGTACCGTGTGAGAGTTGCTAGTGTCTCCTGTACAGGCTATTGAAAGGCACAAACCAAATGAGTCCAGATACTCCAAGTTGCTTTTTTAATTGTAAAATTATATAAATCCTAGACAGTAAATTCATGAATTTGATTTAGCTTTGTGCACTACTTCATGAATTAAATAATCTGAAACAAATTAAAGCTGGTGAGGTGACACACACCTTTAATCCCAGCACTTGGGAGGAAGAGGCAGGAGGATCTCAGTGAGTTCAAAGCCAACAAGGTCTACAAATCAAGCCTGAGGCCAGCCAGGATTACATATTGATTCCCTGTCTCAAAACAACAATAATAATAACTTTAAAAGTGAAGGAGTATCAGAAAGTTCTATTATTTTGAGAACTTTAAGAAGAATGAATAGGTTTTTTTGTTGCAGAAATGTACAAGGTGAGGACAACAGAAAATGCTGGGTTGGGGTATAGCTTAGTTGGTAGCACGCTTGCTGGGATGCAGGAAGAACTGGGTTCATTTGCCACCACTACATTCCCGTAATCTCAGCACTCCAGATGTGGAGGCAGGATCAGAAATCCAAGGTCCTTCTTGGCTTTATAGAGAGTTTTAGGCCAGCCTGAGCTATGGACTCCGTGTCAAAAAGAAAAAAGCAATACTGATTGATAAGGGGATGGTGTGGTGGCCTGCCCTGTAGTCCTAGCACTTGGGAAATTGAGGCAGGAAGGTTGCTCTGTGTGTGTGTGTGTGTGTGCGCACACACACACACACACACATGGTTGTATGCACACGTGTGTGGAGTCCAGAGGTTGACGTGAGGCATCTTTCTCAATCACATTCCACCTTATTTTTTAAGATAAGGTCTGTCACTGAACCTGGAGCTTGCAGCTTCAGTCAGGCTAGACCAGTGGGCTCCAGGAATCCAAACGCAGGTTGTCATGCTGCAGGGCCAGCTCCTCACCTACTCCCCAGCCTCCTTCCTAAGAGTTCTGCTGAGTGGAAGAGACTTAGACTGTGGCTAATTAGATGTCATTCTGTAGGATGCAGTTAGAATTTGTTGTGGGTTTTGTTCCCCCCTCCTTTTTTTTTTTTTTTTTTTTTTTTTTCTTTCTTTTTCTTTTTTTATAGGGCTGGAGGTAGAACCCAGGGCCTCTTGCGTGCTAGGCAAGTACCCAGGAAAGATTTGATTAGTGATCCCAGGGCATTCCTTTTAGAAGGAACTTTCAGAGGAAGTACAGTCAACCTGTGAACTGTCAGGGATCTCTTCCTCCTGTCCATTGAACTCTGGTACCAGAGATCTCAAGATATTTAACGTGGTCTCTGTTTCCTTTAGAAGATTCAGCACAGAAAAAAAAAAAAAAAAAAAAAAAAAAAAAGATCTAGAGCAGCACAGAGTAGTGCCCTGAAGTTCTAAGTCTTCCCACAATGCCCTTTGTGTCCATCTAGAGTATGGGATGGAGGTGGTAGTGGATTTGCAGGTGAAACCTTTGCCGATTAATCAGCATTATGAGCAAGGAACAGACTAAGCTTAATTTTGATAATCAAAAATGTTCCGATAGAGCAATCTTAGTACTTTTTTTTCTGGTCAAAGTACTGTCAGGCAGAAAAACTGCCCTCCAGTTTAGGAACATAATCAAAAAATAAAAACAGTTGTGTTTATCAGAAACCAGAGACAGATAGTGGAGACTGAATAGGTAGTCCCTAAATGAACACAAGGTTAAGGGAGTTCTGGGAGCCAGCATCATCTGTGGAACAGGCTTTGGAAACTGGAGTCTGGATAGTGTTGCTGACTGCTTTAAAGATCCAGGACTGTGTGTGTTTGAAAGGGTTTGTGAACTCTGAAATTCTTTAAGACATTATTATTATTTTAATTTATGCTGAATATACTTCACAT